ATTTTTGCTTACTTTATGGTCAGAAAAGACAACTTTATAAACTTTGTCTTTTTACATTTGTTAATAGCTTACTTTATGAGATAACAAGCAAATCTGTCTTGGGAAATATTCCACTGTTGCATGAGAAACTATTCTGCTGTTGGGTAGAGTGTTACACATTCCTGTTAGGCCTGACTTGTGTGTTCTTATTGATGTTTTGTCTGGTTGTTTTATCTACTGCTGAAAGTGTAGTACTAAAGTCTCCTACTATTGTGTCACCTTCTATTTTTTCCATTAGTTTTGTCAATGTCAGCCTAATAAATTTAGGTGCTCAGAAGTTAACTGCATATATAATTATCTTTCTGTTGAATAGATCATTTTCTTGTTACACGTTCCCCAACTTCGGACTTTTGTGACAATCTTGTCTCAGAATCCTTTTTGTACAATATGCCATTTTGGCTACTTAAGTTTCAAAATAAAAATATATTTTTCCAACTTTAAATATAAAATGTAGTTTCAAATTGGTAATTTAACTTCAACAGTATATATTAACTCTATTTTTATATCCCCATTTCGTGTAAGTCATAACAAATTTGTATTAATACGTATTTCTCAATTTGCTGTTGCCTCTGTTCAATTTCCAGAGCTCTGAAATGGTAAATGAAATTCAATCAAGCCAGGCATGGTGGTGCATAACAATGATTCCAGCAATTAGGAGGCTAAGGCAGGAGGATTACCACAAACTGGAGGCCAGACTGGGATGCATAGTGAGTTCAATGTCAGCTTGCACTATACATTCAGACTCTTTGTCTCAAAATCCACCCCTCTGGGGCTGGGGATTTAGCACAGCAGCATAAGCACCTGCCTTGCAAGTGTGCAGCCTTGAGTTCAATCCCCGGTACCGATTAAAAAAAAAAATAAAGACCAAAAAAAATCCATCCCTCTTGGAAAAAAAATTCAACCGATGCCACAAGTTTAATAAGTTAATATAAAAGAAAGTAAAACGTATTTTTACAAAGTTTAAAAAGATTTTTAAAAGCTAAAAATGCCTAGCCTCTGATTAGTAGTTAAGAGAGAGAGTGACTTGATCACATTGTCAGAGATTGCTACATATTCATTAAAAAAAGTTTGACAAATACAGGTGTCCTAAATATAAAATCCTGCTATACTGTATGTTACACCAAGCTGTTTTTAGTATATTTTTTTAAAGCTTTATATTCTCTGTATTTGTTCATGTTACTTATTATAAATCAATGTAAAATAACCAAAATATAAAGTAACCAAATATAAAAATTACCAAAAATGTCTAATTTCTGATTACACAAGCAATTATCAGTTTTTAATTAATGCATACTACAAAATTCATACTAAATTAAGGAAGTTCAATGTTAGTGCTTCAATTTATCTTATGATGGTATTTTTAAAATAAAGGATTGCTATACATATTTGTGTACTGATTATAATTCAGGGTAGTGATTAAAACTAATTTCCTCTGTATATTGTCATTACTTATCCACTTGGTCTCTCTTTAACAGTAAAATACCTCTACCTAAGACAAAGTCTCTCAGTCCTACAGCAGGTTATCATAAAATTGAGGCAATGTTAAGTGATCAACCCCTCAAAAAGAAACAGCACAAAGTACTCTCAATAGTTTTGTTTTGAGAACTCTGGAATAAGTATTTGATTTTTTTTATTTTTTGATACCAGGGGTTGAACATGGCCTCATGTTTGCCAGGCAGGATCTGGGCCACTGAGCTATATCCCCAGATTGATTCTTTATTAAATATTTTCCTTAGGAGAATCTCAGGATGGGGTGGATATAGGAGGAAGAGTAGAAGATGAAGTAAAAAGGATCACTATGTGGTATATATATGTATCAACCCTCCATGACGAGTCTATTGAATCAGTATCACAAATATGTATTAATAAAAAGAGAATCTAAAAGTAAGGCAGTCATGTTTTTCTATTGTAGGAATGGCATAAAGATTTTATATTATATAAAAGCTCTTTTAAATCATGTCACAATTAAAATAGGTAAGACATCTATTATGCATCAGTAGTAGTAACAGATGCTTCATGTATTTATAGGTGTATGTCTCAAACAATACAATATTACACTATCTAAAACAAGAACTGCCAGACTTATGTTATTATACCAAATTAAAAATACAGAAACCAAGGATCAGAGACATGTATTGACTTGTTAAAGTCAATTAAAACTAAGACTTTAAAAAAGTTATAATACTGGCTGCGGAGAATTCCTTCGTAGTCAGAAATACAGTAATCATTGTAAGGGTCTTAATGGTAGTCAGGTTTACAAAAATTAAAAATCAGTTAACTGGTCCCTTCAGCAAAGCTGAAAACATTTACAACTGAAAAAAAAAATCACAGATTAAATGAAAAAATCTTTGAACTCCATTTGTCTAAAAAAAAACAAAAAAAACTTCATAAAATTAAAGGAACAAATAGAATCTTTAATGCTAAATAGTAGTATGATATCTCACACCAGTGTTATCTGAGGTGGATCAGGGCTTAGATTTATCCTGGTTATAATTCTAAGCAGACACACAAATCACAAATGATACAGAGCAGGAAAAAATGTTTTATTATGTAAATTTTAAATATAGTAAAAATTTTTGTATATGTACAGATCTACAAGTTTTGGCAAATGCATACTATATAACCATAAAGAGAACACAGATTATTTCTATCATGCCCCTATATTCTCATGTCCTTTTGTGAACAACTCATTCCTCCACATCTGGTTCCCAAAACCAGCTATTTCTTGGTCCTATCATTTGCCTTCTCATAATGTCACGAAAACAGCATCATACTCTGTAACTTTTTGAATCTAGTTTCTTATACATGACATGAGGAGTTTAAAACAAACCATTTTAGTTCATGTATTTTCCCTTGAGGAACTTTCTACAGATGAACTATGGCCACTGAAGAATATACGTGCTTTCATTTTGAAGGATAAATAAAAGCACTGTAAACACTCATTAAAGTCATCGTGTTTTTCCACCTCTTCGATATTTATGAGATGACTGAGTCCCCTGTGTGTCTTCAATTTTCTAAGAAACTAGAACTTTTGCAATGTGGTTTGCCATCTTGCATTACTATAAGCAACAGATAAAAGCTTTGTGCTCTGGCTTCTTGATAAATCTTGCCAGTGTAGGGATTTACATTACACTATTCTGTACAGTAAGAAAAGTAAATCCTTCCAGTAAGAAAAATAAAGAACTTATTGTACAAGTGAGAAATTTGACTAGCTGATAACATTTAGAAGGTTAAATTATATCATCAGTTACTCTGCAAATGCAAGATGACTATTAATCACTGTCAGGATAATGGCCTGGCTCCATCTAGTGAGTAGGAAGGGGAAAAGAAAAAGAGAAGAAAAAGAGACTGGAAAGAGAGGCAATTTGTTTCAGTAATGGAAAACAGAACTATCAGGCCAAGAGCTACTATCTGAGGACTTAAATATGTATTAGATTTGGACTCGACTTTTTACACTCATCAAATCTCTAAAGTAGATACTGTTATTCCAATGAAACATAAGACACAGAAGGTAAAGAATTTTCCCTGGCCACAGATACAAGTTTTGAATTTAAAATCCATATTCAAAAATCACTGTAGTATAGCTTGTAAGCCAGGTGTAGTGGTACAATGTCTGTGATTCCTGCATTCCAGGAGGTGGAGACAGGCTGATTGCAAGTGTGAGACCACCTCGGGCAACTCAGCAAGATCTTGTCTCAAAAATAATCCAAATAACCGCACACACCCAGTTTCTCATTAAACTAATTTTCTTACCACTGATGGTAAGGAAGATGAGTCAGAATTTCAATTCATTCTTAAACATAGTCTTCCCTGTATAACTGACCCTTACACACTGTAAAAGTAACTCCCTATTGACTAAATAACTACTCCTGTCATTATTCTTAGTAATTTCAAAATTCACTCAGGTACTATAACTTTCCATGTTTTTCAATTCTTTGACATTCTCTCTTCCCATCATCCTACCTCTACTTCCATCTTTACATCCTAGATCTTACAGTCATTAATAACTCTGCTGATATTTCTTTAATATTTTCAATTTCAGTCACCTCTTCTTTCAACCACATGAATTTCTAATTCCCACTCTGATAAGAACTTCAAACACATCATCAGCTATACTGCAAATTGCCATCAATAACTGATCAGACTATTTTCTAGTATTTCTTAATATTTTTAATTTTCTCACCTTTTTTGTATATCATTTCCTTTGTACCACTTTTATAAATTTTTTTTGAATATATCAACACTTTTGTCCTTCCCCAACTTTGTTCTCTTCATCAAGGAAACTGTTAACTTTGGGTAAATTCAACTCAGTAACTACACAAATGTAGAACTTAACTGGAAAAAGACTGAGAACTATGTTGATAATAAAAACAACCATGGACCATACACAAGTAAGTACTTTACGTACTTTCTAACAGTAGTAGCATGTTTACTAAGTTTCCTCAATCTCAATGTTACACCGTACTTTTCTTCCTCCAGCCTTCTTGACTTCGTTTCATGAACTCCTTTCACTGAATAAAATTTTTGTTTTAACTACCACACTAAAGACCTCCAGGTTTTCATAATCTATTCTTCATCCTATTGTAATGAGTTCTCCAGATGTCTATCTTCAATTAACTTTTCTATTCAGATACTAGATCTTTGATCTGTATTTTTTCACTTCCTACATCAATTTAAGCAGTCCCATTAGCATATAAATTAGGTGTATTTTCAGTCTTTAAGAAAAAAAAAAAAAAACTTCTTTGTGGAGGACTACCAGGAAAGTTCTCCTGAAAGATGACCATTTGTTTCCATTTTGGCTAGCCATTACCCTAACCATGTACTGATATGTACAGAGCTGGCTAAGAAAATAACTCTACTCACTAAATTGGCTTTAAGCAATGCAAATGGGTCTAGCTAAGGTGCTGATGTATAGCCTTTGGAGCAATGCAACAGTGATGCCTCGCCTGTAGCTTCCTCACCTGTAATTCCTACTGATAAGCATGAGCCAAGCCAAGGGATGCTGCACTGTCTGCTGGGATTCATCCTCGAGGATGAGGCTGTGATGTCCTAGGGCAGGAAGGCCAGACATCAATGCTGAAGCAATCAACCAGAAAACAAAATATTTCCTCAAACTTTTACACAGACTCCTACAAACTTAGAGGCTACCTGCTACTGGCATTGGGTACTGTTTCTGAACAGTTCTCTCTGTATATTACAAAGGTGCTTTGTGCCTCCTACCTAGCCCAGCTCACAGCACTCATATACTTCTGTCATTCTCACGGTAACTCAATCCTAAGCCATTTCCTTATTCACAATTAATGAAACTCAAATTTGGTCATGGGTCAGATCTTTTTCAAGGTGTGCAATTGTTTTGTCTGGACTTGGGACATCTTGGCTCTCTGCAACTACAGATATGATTTTGTCTGTTGTCACTGTGGGTTACACTGGAAATGGTAGACTGGAAAGTGCTTACTAAATTCTGGTAATATTTCCATGAGATAATAAAAACTCATTTGGACTGCGGCAAAACCCTAATGGCCTCTGTATAGTTCTTGAGATCATACTGTCCTCAATTAAAGACTTGTGTCTTTATTCTACTTAAAAGAAAAACTACTTTTAAGAGTTGTCTTAACTTTCCATTATTCCTACCTTTAATGTTCTTTTCCACACTTTGCAATGTTTTAAGGAAAAAGGAAAAAGATGTGATTTATAGCACTTGAACCAAAAAGTATACTGTCTGGTAAAACTCAAAGCCAAACAAAAAATATAACCACTGCTCAAATAATTATAAAATTTAAAATGTTAAGAGTTAGATTCGTGGTATCAAAAAAAGAGAAAAGAACAAAAATAAATAAAACGTTAAAAAAAAAAAAAAAAACCTGTGCAAGTTAAGATCTTTATTCAGATAAAAATGAAAATAGCAACATTTATAATCATTAAAGAAAATTTAATTATAAAATTAAGAAATTCATAAAATTACATATTTTTCTAGACATACAAACCAATATAATTAAAAATTACAGATACTATTTTATCAGAAAGAAAATAATTTATTGTATATGAGGCATCTCATTGTAAGAGCTATAATATATATCTGACAAAATGAGTTAAATGACTATTGATTTAATTTTTAAATATACTTTTAAAGCTGTTACGCACAGTTCCATAGTCCAGGTAGTCAATTTCTTCTCAAAGTTGGCAAAAACTTGAAAGACTCGAAATTCAAGAGGAACCTAAAATACCATAAAAACTCATTAAAAATAATCATTATTATAACATTTTAGGAGTCTGAAAATAATTACAGCTAAAATAATTATATTTAGAAAATCAGTGAATCATGTCAGCATAAATTTAATTACAAAAATACTTTATATGGGAACTAATATATAACATGAATGAGTAAAAGATTATAATTGTACTTATCAAAAATTTGCAATTTCTGTATCTGGAAGGTTTTTTTTAGTTATAGGTGATTAGGGTTATTCCAACCATTTTACTTCAAATAAACAGTATCCTTATATTACTAAAGAAACTTTTCAAATTAGATTCTTAGACCCTATTCCCAGAAATTGCAATTTATTATTTTTACGATTGGTCTAGGAATCTTCAGAAATAAAAACACTTCACTGGTGGTTCTCTACTTTGACTGCACATTAGACTCACTTAGAAAATCGTGAAAATTTCTAAAACCCAAGCTACATTCCAAAATTATAATATAGTACCTACTCTCTGGGGAAGGAACCTAACATTAAAATATTTTTAATTTTTATTTATTATTTTTCAAAGTTCCCAGGCCACTCCAATGTGCAGCCAAGTTCGAGAAGTACAGTTAAGGGTACTTCTGGTTAATCAGCCTGGGAATTACTATTTTTACATTCTTACTAGGATCATTTTGTTTTTCATCATTGAGCTACCTTACTTTAACACTGTATCTTCTATCTTGTTACTCTCTCTTCTTACCCTTTTCTGCTTTCTGTTAAAAAGTTCTATTTGCTATCTAAGTTAATGGAAATATCAAATGTGAGATCTGCTACTTAATTTGGGATTTATATATCAAGTTATTTTAATTTTTAGCACAAGTTCTTTTTTAAAGAAAATAATTTGTTTCCACACTCAAATTTTATGTAGAATATATAGACCAGATATATCTTAAGAGAGAAACCAGATGTTATTTAAATTTACCAAAATACACAAAGAGAAATAAGACAACATTCTGTGTTAAAGCAAATGCATACATATTCTCTAAGTAGTTGACCTGATTCACTAACTTTCTGTGGAAAAACTATAACCTAAATGCAAAGAAAATTCAACAACAAATATAAGAAAACATATAAATTTTTCAAGCTATAGAATTTTAGAAACATTTCATTTGCATAAAGTATAAAAAAATGCTGTTTAGCCTAAACCAAGGGATAGAAATAGGGACAAAACATTTCTAGTAAACAAAAAACAACAAAATAAAAAACAAAACAAAAAACACTGCCCCAAAAAGGATACAACAAGAAAGGATACATTTTTGCATGACAGTATTACAGCAGTATGTACGCAGGAATGCTTCTAAAGAAGAACAGCAGAATGCGGTTTAAATTTTTTCTGATTTTTCAGCATCAGATGTACAAAATGACTTTCTTAAATGTGTACTCAAATACTTAATTTTCCTCCAAGGTTACTTATGGACTTTTGGGTATCACAATAGTAACTTTAAAAAATTCGTTTCACATTTTTCTAGATTACAAAGCGAGAAAAGATTTTTAAAAAGGAATATATTTTCACCTGTTTTTTATATTAGCATAAACTTTAGAATTTAAAGTGCTTAATTCTACCATTTCTAACCATAAATTATTAAGGTATTAAAATTACTTGTTTCAAAGACAAAAGATTTAACTCCACAAAAACATGTCTTTCTAAAGTGTGTTAAAAATTAATTTTATGTATTTAGCACTATTCAATTTAAAGAGTTGAAAAATATTTAACTGCTTTCCTCGTGACTTTTTTAAAGGCCTGTTCCTAGACCAGTTGTCCCAATATTACTTACAAACTCCTTGGTATGCAAAGGCTTAGGTGCCACCAGGGTGACCAACTTATTCTGGCATGCCAGATACTCTGCCCTTTAAGGAAAGTACCACTAAGAAATCCCTCAGTGACATAACTGGGACTACTTATCTCTGACTTCACTCTCTGAATCAAAAACTCTTAGTAGGAGGGAAAAGCCTAGTAACCTGTGTTTCATCAAGTCTTTCAAATGCTAAAGTTTAATATCAGCTTCTTTAGTAGGCAGAAAAAGTAATTAGTATAGACATATTCTCCTTATGTAAGTTTTATGTAAAATGGACTGTGTGCTATTGTTATAATTTTTAAGTTTAATGGAAATCAATTTTAAACATAGATATCTCCTTAAAATTCTTTAGATACCTGAATGCTTATTCTATCAGACTTTTACCTTTGCTTAATTTTACTTTACAAAAATACAGTATTGTGGTTTTACCATGTTTTATCCATACTTACCTTAACACTTTCTTTTTCCTTCTTTAGAATCTTGCTTTGGCCTGGCAGATCGGGCAAATTGCTAGTATTTTAAAAATTAAGGTTTCCTCATGAATATGAAAGTAGACTATTTTTCCAAATTATCAACTTTCTAATATAGAGAAGGAATAGTTTTTAAATTTGCTTTGACTATCTCCTACTGATCATGATGTAGAAGAGAAATAAAAATTCACCTCTATTATTTTTTATACCTACACATTTGCAGCTTTATTTATCTTGCTGATTCCTAGTTTACAAACTGCAACCACCAAAATATGAAGGTTAATTAATAGTCTGCTTTTGAAATTCTCAAGCAGAAATGTGAATTACAATAAAATCATAAAACTACAATCAATTACTTTCTGGTGATATCAAATATACTTCTAAATACTATAATCTGTTAGGTTTAGTATAAAGATGCACTTCTGGGCTACATAAATGAAATGTCTAGATATAGCTGAAATTAAATAACCTTGTACTTTTGAATTGCCTTTATTTTCCAATAAAAACCTAAACAATGTTTCATTGTAACTAACTAGCTCAAACTAGAAATTCTACTTGCTAAGGACCTGACAGTTAAGTTTACTGTTCCCTTCTCTTAAAAATTATACAGTTTTGTGACAAACTGATTTGAAGGATACAACCACCATGGGTTTTCCAAAAAGAACATATCCATTAGCTTCCTTCAAGGCTTTTGCAGCTGCTTTTTCATTTGGAAGTCCTATGAAAGCTTGTCCTTTCATGCGACCTTCTTTCATCAAGCGTATATCGAACCTATAGGGGAGAAAGAGCAGTTTTAATTCAAATAAAATCAAACAACTTCAATACAATGAATGAAAATGTGTTGAACAATTCAGTTTTGCTATTTCAAAGTGAAAACAAATATAATGCCTCTTATGTTTTCTAAAATTTTGTTCTTTCTACAAGTAGGTAGCATCATTCATGATGAGTTCATTTTCTACTTTTTAAATTGTTATAAATATTTGTGACTTTAAAAAATTACATTAGTATGATAAAGTTAAAAACAAACATGTTTTTCAATATTTTAGAGACTGAACCCATGACTTTGCTCATTTCTACTACTGAATTACTCCCTAGCAAAGGAAACTTAAGTCTTATTTCATATCTACTTTTAAACTTTTTTATAGTAACTTGTTATCTGCTCTGGTGACAAAGATAAAAAATAGACTGCTAACAAGAACCAATTATAAACAGTTACAGAATTTCAGGGTTAGAAGGAACCTTAATGATGTCTAGACATTAACTCTTCAAACCAGAGAGCTAAAGCCACACTTTCTTCCTAGCAGTGTTCTGCTACTCCACAGTATACTCATTTGCAACAATTCTGAGACAAAATTATACTTCAAATCTACTTAGGAAAATGAAATTGTAATTTACAACTTAAGTATGGCTTATCAATAACAACACAGCAAGAGAATACAAAACAAAAAATATCAATTTTAAAAGCAGAATGAGGGCTGGGGATTTAGCTCAGTGGCACAAGCACCTGCCTGGCAAGTGCAAGGTTATGAGTTCCATCACTGGTACATACAAATGGAAAGGAAAAAAAAAGAAGAAATGTTAAAAAAAAAAAAAAAATCACATGACTGGTCTTATGGAAAACCATTTACCATTTGTATATCCATCAATATATTCTACATTGATATTTCTCAATATAGTCCCCCCCCCCCCCGGACTGGGATTGAACACAGAATCTTTTTTGCTGAACTATATCCCTGGCTCCTTTTAAACTTTTATTTTTGAGACAGGGTCTTGCTAAGTCCTTCTGTTGTACAGGATGCATTTGAAGTTGTGATTCTCTTGCTTCGTCTCCCAGAGTGATGTCATTCACCACTAGTGGAATTAATTTTTTACTTCAAATAACTTACTACAGGCAATACTGGAAATAGAAAAAACATGTTTACAAAGATACTTGTATGCATTTCATATGAAGGCAATTTTTTTTTACGATAATGACCTATAACAGAACAAGTTTTTGCATGGGCAGAAAAATAAGCTTCTCACATCTGGATAAGAAGAGACAAATGCTGCTAATGAGTATGAACAATTTTAAGATATGATACTACCTATACACACTTACCTAAAAAGATACACAGACCAGGTAATATCTTAAGGTGGAGTTTCAAATAAAAAGTCATCCCTCAATATCCACCAAGAGTCACTTTATCTTTTCTATTTGATCCTCATTTTAGTTATATGGCCAACAGTCTTTCTCACTTTGAAATGAAGTAAAAAGGGATTTCAAACAATGAAGTTCAAATCCCCAACATTAGTTTTCATATCATTTAGAAAACATGTATGTGTCTCTTTTGCTTTCACAGGAATGGGAGCAACCTTTAAGAGATAAGAATTTCTCAGAGTATAAATAAAAATTTGCCTCATTTGTACACATATATGTATTTTTGAACCACTCATTAAAACAATGTTTTCAAGTGCAATCTTAGGACCAGCAGTATCTGAATCACTCAAAGGAGTTTTCTAGAAATACAAGTTTAAGAGTTCTTACCTAACCTAGAAAATAGCCTCTCAGGATATATGCCTAGCAAGCTATTTTATCAAATATTCCATGTGTTAAGGCTTGTATCTTAGACACCTCTTCCTTGCCTCAGGTGGGGCTTTGTAGAAGTAGCTGGTTCTAGGGTGTGTGATTCTGGGATTAAAATGTGTGAGATGAGCATTAAATGTGTGATGCTGTGATTACAAGTGAGCCAGCTTGGTTGTGAGTCTACCAACCCTAAGGGTGGATACCTGGATGGAATATAAGAGGAAAAAAAGAGGGATGCTGTTGCTTCTTCACTACATCACTGCTTTGCTGCCTGATGGCCACCATGAAATGTTTCTCCTCTGTGATGTTCCTCTGCCATGCCACCTTGCCTTGCATCCAGCCAGCTATGAACTGTGAGCTACATACACCTTTTCTCTTTTAAGTTTGGCTATTGGATATTTTCTTCTCAATAATGAGAAAAAGTAACTAAGTTATCAAGTGATAATTAGTGTTAAAGCTCGTGTACCAGTGCTTTAGAGCAATGACCAATCTGTACACATGTTGCAGTGTGTTGCTTATTATCATTTGTTATGATTTATGTTTGGATGTCCCCCAAAGCCTCAGGCAGGTGTGGATATGGCTGAATGCAGCATTTGTGATTGGCTTGTAGGCTACTGCTGGGATTGGCAGTGTGAGTGCTATACTCACCAAGGGGCAGGTAGCCAGCACTTTTTTGCCCTTGTGTTCTTGTTGCTTGTGGCCGCCATGAATGGTTGCCCTTAGGCACACTACCCTGCCTTGGAACAGCTGAATATGACTGAAACTTCCAAAAACTGTAAGCGACATAAACCTTTCCTTCCTTCATTTTAGGCATCAATTATTTTGTCTCACAAATGAGAGAAAAGTAATCAAGAGATCATTAAAAGATCTGAAAAGGTTTGCTGTGACTGCTTTAGGATGAGAACTAAGGTCAGAATATTTCTCAAGGTTTATTTTTGTTAATTAAGATGCGCTAAAATACAAATGTGAATATTCATTTAAGTAGAGTTTATGGCTACTTTCATGCTATTACTAAGTACAAAAAACTAAGTATGTGCAGCAGACATAATGTGGCCTGCAATGAAATATAAATACTAAAATTTTCTTATATGCCCATTCAAAGAAATTGAACAACTACTAGATGTCCAACAGATTACTCATGCAAAAGAATAGACCTATTTCTTCATGTAATTTTCAGCTGGAAAAAGATAGTGGCATAATAAAAAGTGCTAAATTCATAACAGATATAAAAAACAATTAGAGGTATGACTGCCACTTACATGATCCGTTGTGTTTCTGATGAGAAGTCAACGTATCGCCCAAAAATGAATTTAAGGTCCTAGAAATTCAATACCAAAAAGATAAATAAGGAAGCCAGTGGAAAACAAGGTAAAATAAAAACAATTTAAAATTTGAAACTTACTTTTTCTTGAACATGCTTGGCTAAATTCTTTACATAAATTCTACAGTTGGGTTCACCAGGTTCATAACTTCTGAAAACTGAAAGTGTTTCCATTTCTTATTTAAAGAAAAACAAATGAAGATATAAAATTAAAACTTTTACCAATTTTCAAAAAAAAATTATAACATTGAAATGTAACTGTTAAACAGGCAAAATAGCCTTTATGAAAATGTTGAAACCATGGATACTAGCATTATTATGAATGGATATAAAAACTTTAAAAATCTAAAGTGAATATAAAAAAAAAACTTTGTTTCAAAAATTTCATATTTCCAGAATAAACAATGAAGTATCTACTATTTTTATTTTTTTATTTTATTTTCTTTAGTAGCAGGGATAGAACTTATGATCCCTTACTTGCCAGGCAAGCGCTTGTGCCACTGAGCTAAATCTCTGATGAAGTATCTATTATTAAAGTCTCTTTATGATAACATAGTTCATTTAAAAAAAAAAAAAAACTAAAAGGTATATCAATCATTTGCATAATTATCTTGATTGAAGTCAATTTTCCAAAATATCAGTCACATATATAGTTAAATTAAGAGTGACTTACTCAAAAACAATAATCAGGTATTTTAGAGAAGGAACCTCTGATCTATTTCATGGCCCTTATTTTATTGCCAGTAATCTGTTGTTTACAACTAGATATAAACATATATATATTTTTTTCCAACTAGATGTTTTTTAATTTTTGAGAGGTTTTTGTTTTTGGTTTTTTTTTTTGTGAGTATGTGTGTGTGTGTGTGTGTGTGTACTGGATATTGAACTCACCACTTTGTGCTGGCCAGCCTAGGCACTGTGATGCTGCCCTATAATCTCAACTAGATATTTTTAACAAAAATGCCAGTTGAAAAATCTCTCATTACTTTGGGAAAAATTATATCCATCAAAAAATTTTGAACAGACATTCTGCTTCAGAAGATTTAAAGAAATGTAAAATGGAATATGTGCTGGTTTATTTCATGACATTACCTTCTCTAGAAATTCTGCCTTTTTCCAGTTCCCTTCTAGAAATACATTCTGAAGGCATTTCATCAGAGTCTTCTTTAATCTCTTCTGTGACATTCAAATTAGGTTTGGGAAAGATTTTTCCAAATCCTATACTGGATGCTTCAACTTCAACAGCAGGTAAATCTAAGAGTTTAATATTAACATTAGCCATTAAAAAATCTCTTACTTCAAAACAGTTTTCTGGTTCCATTGCTTCCACTTTTAATTTAACAAGATTTTGGTTTTTTGGGCTTTTTTTGGTTTTCAAATTCTTTGCTGACTCTCAAGGTTTTAAACAGGAATCAATAAATCTTTTCTATAAAGATTCAAATAGTAAATATATCAGGCTTTATAGGCCATACAGTTTCTGTCATAACTATTTATTCTGTTATTATACCATGGAAACAATTACAGACAAGTGCTAAATAGCCAACCAGTTGCTTTATAGTGCTATTTAACTTTTTTTTTTTCCTTTCTTGGTACCAGGCACTGAACTCACAACCTCAAGCTTGCAAGGCAAACACTTATGCCGCTGAGCTAAATACCCTGCTCTATGGTGCTATTTAGAGGATCTATAAAGAGAAAAGAAAGTGAACTCAGTTTCAGCATATTCTGTACCAAGGAGATATATGATGAAAATTTTGGTGAATATATTTTATTTACTCTAATTATTATTTTTTTTCTGAGGCATGGACCAATTTAGTAAACAAAAGGAATAAAAAGATTCAAATTTAAATAACTGAAGGGGGCACACTGACAGAAGTTCAAATTGCCCCACCAACTTGGAAATTTTAATCACTGTATGAACAAAAGGAAATTTGCAATCAGTCGAATGCCTTACATAATAAACAATGGTACTCTGCTAATGGGATATATATTCCCTTAGTTTATTTATCCAATGATTATGAATACTTCATAGGGGTACCTCAGAATACTGTGAAACAATTTTCAATCTTATCAAAAACAATCAAAAGATTAGCATTTGCATATATAAATCAGAAGATTAACATCTGTATATAAATGCCATAAAATATGACATTTCCATTTGGGGATACTAAAAAAAAAAATACATTAACCACCCACTCCACCAAGAATAAAGGTAATAATCTGATGCTACAAGAAAAACAAGTATATACGCATTTAAGAACTACTTAAGTTCAAAAACACTTCAAATTTTTAATTTTAAATAGCAATATACTGAATTTTATTCACAAATATCAACCAGTACCAATAAGAATCAAGGTGGTTTTAAGGAAAATATTTGGAAGCATGTTAAATGTTTAGTAGAAATGTTCTAATCATACTACCTAAACAAAAATAAAACACAAAACAAATGCATCCCAAAGAGACAGGTCGGAAAATGAAGCAAATAATATGCCGTACTCAGGTTTATAAAAATGTCCTCATGATGCAATAAAGACACTATGCAAACAGAGCTTCTGCGATCTAAAACCATCAGCAATGAAAAACTTTAAACATTTCCACTGTTACTTCAACATCAGTACCTTTGACAACGATGTAAAATGTGATGTTTGCCCCTCTCATAAGTCTTCCATAAATCAAATTTAAAAAATAATCTGTACTTCATAAATTTATACAATTTTATGGATCAGTTATAGATATTTTCTGCTATTGAAAAAGCAATATATTCGTACTAACCATCAGAGAAGATAATTAAAATAAGTTATTTTTCACTCACTTCATTTACAACACTTAATAGAATTTGATCCTACATTCATACAAGTAGTCAAAGATACACTACCAAGGATATATAATTCTGTATTTTCTATAATAGTAAAAAATTAAAATTCTCAAAGCATGACAGGATAGATATGATTAAATAATATATATTCTGATACAATATACTACCCATTCCCAAACATAAAACTCCAAAACTCCAAAACACACAAAAAAGTGACTTATTCCCACAGTGAGCTATGTAACAGACTTTCAATAAGTCATTTCCAAGGGAATGAATACTGTTATAAATGAAGCTCATTTCCAAAAACAGAAGAAAAATATGCTTTTATATGTACAGGACAGTATAATTTGAATCTCAGATGTCCTCAAACACCCCTGTGTTTGGTCCATAGCCCATGATACTGAGAGGTGGTCGAAATTTTTAAAAGTCGGGGCCTACTCGGAAGTCTTCATATCTCTGAAAGCATGTTCTTCAAAGGGACTGTGGAATACCAGTCTCTTGCTTGTTCTGTTAAGTGCTTGGCACCTTTTCTGAAGCAATTAGTTTTCCCTAATAAATGCCCCCCTCCATGATGCACTACCTCAAGACAAACCCAAAAGCTGCAGGTCTGCTTCAACATGGACTGAAATCCCCAAAATAGCCAATAAAAAACTTTCCTCTTCCTTAGTTGATTATTGGATGTATTGAGTTACATCAATACCAACTTACACACAGGATGAGGTCTTGAAAGATGTAGGTACACGTGTGTGCACATGTGTGCACACATACACATCCCAACTACTAATATGTTACCTCTATGAAATAGGAAAGAAGCCCTGAGATGTTAATTTTTTAAAATTTTTTCTTTGTATGATTATTTTGATATATTCAAACCTTAATTCTAACACAAAAGTAACTAGCACAAGAAAGAATTAAAATATTCTTACCAGAATTTTTTTCCTCATAATTTTTTTCTTTCTGTAAATCTTTATTAAATACATTTGGCATGTCAGTAGATATGTGGAATTCAATTCTTTTATTGCCTACAGGTTGTGGCTGGTCAAACACATCTGAAGGTAATAGCACAGGATGCAAATTGCTATTTAAAAAAAAATCACAGCATTGAGTTTATGATTGGAAATAGAATTCTGAAAACTGGATAACAAATTTATATTTAAAAACCTCATACTAATAAAGTATTTCCTACATGCCAAGCATTGCACAAAATACTTAGGTTTGATATTTCAATAACGTGTAACAAAATGTGCTAATGTGAACTATTTAATTCCTAGCTTACGCATGAGTTAACTGGAGCTAAAAGATGTTAATTTGTATATAAGTCACCTGAAAGAAAGTACTTGAGTAAAAAGAAAGTACTTAGGGGAAAAAATAGTTTCTCCTGTTAATGTATGCTTTTAATGCACTATTTTATGTACTATGTAATACACTGCTAATAGTCACTAGCTATATAGTAGTAATTTTATATAAGAATGTAAAATGTCAACAATTTCTTGCAGATTATACGATTTTATTCTGGATAACATTAATTTAATTCACTTTTACTGTTTAATGTGGCTATTAGAAAATTTCAGTTTATATTGTTTCTCTTGTTAAACCTTATTGTTCATTACTTGTTCCTCCTGTTTTAACCTACTGCTGAAGAGACAAAAAGCATGAGACTGCAGTGTCCAGATACAGATGTGCATATTATTTATACATCTCATCACTTGCTCTTAAAAAAAAATAAAAGATCAAAATCTATTCTTTTAAAAATCTATTCCTCTTGGCAAGCACAAGGTCCTGATTACCGATACAAAAAAAAAAAAGGAAAAAAGAAAAAATCCATTCCTTTAAAAATGACAAAAATTTTCAAAACTCCTTTCTCAATTTGTAACACTGATTTCAATTTTAAAGGCTGCTTTTTTCTTTTTTTTTTAAATATCAGGAATCAAACTCACAACCTCACATTGCAGGGCAGGCACTGTGCCACCAAGCTATATCCCCACACTATTAATTACAATTTTAAAGGGAAGCTTGCCTTATATAAAAGTTGCATGATGCTAAAGTTGCAATTAATATCAAAAGGCAGTGAATAAAGTACATAAAAAGATAGTCATATAAAATAAATGGTAGAAGATTTTGAGAACTGGGATATTCAGTGTTCTTAAATTCTGGAGAACTGTGAATTATGAATATTTTTAAATTTGGCAAATAGGAGGCCAGCAATGAAAACAAGTAAGCTGATAATCAATAAGTCATATTGAGGATTAATGTGCGTTAACCAAGTATACAAAGTATATACAAACAATCTTCATTTAGTAATGTAGATTACTAAGGAAGATTACCTGTGTGAAACAGATGAAGACAGATTTAACATATCCTTTATTTTTTGCTTTTTTCTCACATGACGCTGCTTTGTCATCTTTGGTCTTTTGGGTTGAAGGTTTGCTAGTTCCATAAGTTTGGTCATTCTATTTTGGGAAGAGGAAAAGTAAACAAGATATCCTTACCTAAAAGCACAGTTATTTGATACTTTCTGTTAAGCTTGTATTTTTCTTCAGGTGTATAAATTATAACAAGACTTCCTTATCAAAAGAGGAATGTACATATAAAATAAGGACAACTTGTAAGCCATTAACCAGATACTCAACTTGATAAAACTGAACATTATAAATTGTCTTGCTCTACCTATGTCTCATTCTAAGAGAATAATTTAATTAATTACAATTCATCTATTGTTTAAAAACACTTTTATTGCATACTTGGTCAAATAAAATACTTGGACTTAAAGCCAAAAAATTGAACATGAAACACTAATATATCTGAACTTTATTTTTTCTTGACAAAGAGCCAAAAGACCTTATCACTATAGTAAGATTATTGTCACTATTATTTTGCTACTGGAGTTGAACCAAGGGCCCTTACAGTGTGCTACATACTCAGCCCTCTTTTATTTTGAGATAGAGTTTTGCGAAGTCACTAAGCTGCCTGAGTTGGACTTGAACATAAGACTATACCACCTGGCTAAAATTATTTTGATTCATTTTGTAATTACTAAACTGGATATAAGGGTGCTGCTGAAAAGCATTTTATAACAAACTATTTGAGAACAAAGTTTTCAAATACTATACTCTGAAGTAAATTACAAGTAAATTCAAGAAGTGATGAATGATATCTTGAAAAACTTAATGGAGACTTTTGCCATTAAGAGTATGAACATTCTGTAATCCCAGGACTCGGGAGGCTGAGGGAGGAGGATCATTGCGAGTTCGAGACCAGGCTGGGCTACAAAGTGAGCTCAAGGCCAGCCTGAACTGCATAGCGAGACCCTGTCTCAAAAAGACGAAAAAAAAAAAAAAAAAAAAAGAGTATGAACATTACTGGTTATCTGAAGCATTGGGATACACATATATAAACTGTTCACCCAAGGTATACCATGTTTCTAAAAGAGTGCTAAGTATACATTAAGTAGTCAAAAGATACCTCCTAAATTAATTAATTTTACTATCTTTTAAAGGTTTTGTTACATTCCTAGAAGTTAAAAGATAAGCATGCAATCAGAGGTAGGTACATAAAAGTTTGGTTCTCTCTCATGAGGCAAGGTGAATTACTGGCAGAATTCTACACTACATCCTTAAATGGAAAGCTACATTAGAAAACAAAAACAAAAACGAAAAACAGGAAACAAGAATTGGATTTGGCCAGTTTACATGTAGCATTTTTACTTGCTATCATTACTTTTATAAAGAAAATACAGTTCAAAGAGGGTAATTATTCCTTTCAACAATTTAATATTGTTTTACCAACAAGTTAAAGCTCTCTTTACAATGGGCTGCCAGTTTCCCTAAATGTCTCTATTTAGGACAGTCATTAATTCCTATTTCTACACATTAGGCCTTGCCACAGAAATAAAATATATATTAAATCACTATTTAGGTAGACAGTAACCAAAATTGCTTCTATTTGTAGATACTGCTCAAAGTCTCTACTGTGGTATTAATGTCATTCATTCCTCTTACACTTGACTTCTGTGTATGGTCATCTAAGACTTCCATCATTATGTAGGCTTGCAATTATAAACTACAGCGCAAGGACCAAATCCAGCTAGATGCCTATTCTTGTGAAGTTTGGCTACAACAGTCACACCTATGTATTTAGGTATTGTCTATGGCTTCTTTCCTAAGAGTATTAACAGCCAGATGTGATCACACTTAAAATCCCAATAAAATGGAAGGCTGAGGCAGAAACCCAGAGCAACTTAGTGAGATAATGTCTCAAAAAAAAAAAGGGCTGAGACAATAGCTCACTGAAATGATTTGGGTTCAATTTCCATTATCAAAAAAAAAAAAAAAGTTGAGTAATAGTTAAGACAGAAATCAATGATAATTTAGCTCATAAAGTTAAATCTATTTACTAGCTACACAAAAATCCTAGGCAATTCCTATTTTAAGTTAGGCTGTAGATTCTGTACCAAACATTGTTAATAATTTACTATCTTTTGTTAGGTTCTTTGAAAAGAATATATTCCAGGGGAATAAGCTGTCAAAATATTCGTATAACTAATGCTTATTATCTGTAATAGTTATGTGTTACAAGATTATCACTACTACTACATAGTAAGAAATTCCTGTTCCTAGGAACTCAAGATTATGTTCCTGCAATACTCTGCTTACATTTCATCAAGTGATCATTACATATCATTGTTTTATGTGAGTTTAAGGATATCTAATTTAATATACATTGTTGATTCACTAACACTGAACTCAAAGTCACAACAAAATTATTGTCTAAAAGAAATTTATCTAATGCACATCAATTCTTTCCCATAAGCTCATCTCTGCTTGATTTTAGAACACTAAACAACACTTCAGTATTTTGAGGGCCTTTTTGATCAGCAAAATCATCAACACTGAAACAAAAACTGTAAAAAAAAAAAAAAAAAAAAAGATACTAGGTAAACCATAAAAACAACAACTGTGTATAACGACACTGAAACCACAGGTGGTTATGGAACTGTGGTTTCTTCTTTTCAGTTCCTGGGCATGAGGTAAACAGTTTTATATACCACATTTTCTGCTGTGCTTTCACCACAGGCTCTAAGCAATTAATTATGGATAGAACTTTTAAAACTGAGAGATAAAAGAAACCTTTTCTCTTTATAAGTTATTTAAGTTCTTTGTTTTAATGATGGAATGTTAACACAGTCACTGTTCAAAACCATTTGGAAATGTGTCTGATGGGTGAGTAAAGTTTTTCAACTATACATATCTTTACCCAAAGCACAGCAAGTATTGATTTGGGGTTACAAATAATCTTATCAAGTAGTCAAAATGCAAATGTGAAATTCTTAAATAACTATATGTTTTATAATATCAAATATACTGATTTCAAAATTTATGCATAATTAAAGATTTTCCTTTAGGTTTGATTAGTATCTTTTCTCATGTCTGAATCAAGCTTGAGGGGTTGGGGGAACTGAAGATAAATTCGATGACTATGAATTTTGTGAATTATATGTAAAAATATAGGAAGAGCAAGACAGTCTCTTTTGCATAGTCTGTTTCTTGAAACCTAAGCAATTATTTCATATTACAAACCTCTGTCGATCCTCCTCATCACTGCTTTCATATTCTGATTCTTTACTAGACAGTTCCTCATCTTCATCTGGCAAAGGAGGTTCCTCAGGTGGCTGAGGAGATGTAGGGGGAAGAGGTGCATGCAGTGGCAAATAGTCTTCATACTAAATGAAAAACAAAAGGCCTAAAGCAATCTGTGATTTTTACAGAATAGACAAATTGAGTCCATTTAGATTACTTCCCAATTCTCATTTCCCTTTCTACATTATATTCTTTAACACATTTGATACAAATTCAGGGAACACCTATTTTGGTAGAGAGCTGATGGCACAATTTACTTTGTCTTCCTTGCTCCTCAGCTATACTATAATTTGCAAACCTCCCTTGCAGTTACATGTTACTAAATTTTAATAAATGAGTATAAAAACACTTTCTATATAATCCTTCCTTCCTTCTTGACCTAGGAAGGTACATGAAGACATATCAGGTTTTTTTGAATGACCCAGTAAAGCAGAAAAATGCATTTGAACCAACATGCCTGAGAAATAACTCTTACTGTGCTCAAAGACTTAAAAATTTATGTTCCCAGCACCTAGTCTAATCTTAATAATCCTGTATGCAAAGATCAATTAAAGTATAGGGGTTGTAAAAAAAAGTTATGAAAAAACACAGATAGTAGAAAAGCAACCAATACATCAAATTCTCTTCTACTTGTATGTTAACATTCAAAATGATTTCAACAGCAAGATTTACACAATAAATTCTAATGAAAATATTAGCAATCTTCTTCTGGTTTTTTCCAAATGAAGCTCTACTTATAATACAACTAAAACAATGGAATGTTTGATAATTTAGTTAAATGTAATTGACTTAAAGAATGATATAATGTTCTGAAAAAAATGCACAACACTGGAAGAAACCAGCATGTCTTACCAGAATCATTTATTTGTTTTGTATTCTAGCTTTTCTACTCTTTCAGTGCTCAGCTTTATTATGAATGTCATACGTTATGTACTATCTTTATTTTCAATGTATATCAAAGGTTACGATACTTATATAATTTATCCTTAGTAATCCAACTCAGAAATTTTGACTCTTAAAAATTTCAAGAGCATTCTTACCAAGGGAGGCGGTGCAGTAACTGGTCCAAAAGGTGTGGGCAAATTCATTTTATTCATAAGATGAAGCACCTTAAAATTTGTAGAATATTCAGAATCACACAGTATAAAATAATGACTCAATTTCCACTTTATATGTAATATAAAAAAACTTTGCAGTAATACATTCATTAGTTTAATACAAGGACGGCACATCATTTGCCTTTACAATCCCAAGACAAGGGAAAACAAAGCACTCCTAACCAAAGTTGGTTTGATTATGGTGGGTTTTCAAGCCTACAATTCGCTTCATTACTAAGAATGCAGTTCTCTTGCGATGTAAAACCTACTAAAATACTTTCAAATCCTGGTTCATGATTATTTTGAGGTTGTGTAACACAGTACAATAAAACTAAACAGCATCTGTATTTTCTAACTTAATCTTGTTATTTGGCGTAATTTTCAAGCATTTGCTGAGTCAGGATCCACTACGAGTTTTTCTTTAAAAATTTCTTTAGCATACTTAATATATTAAAGATATATCAAAGTAAAAGTTCCCACAAATTACATTTCCCAAATAAGCTTCTCTTTATTAGTATCCATTTATGAACTACATTTTACAAAAGCCTATACTTGAGAGTAGTATGTAATATTTCATTACTTGTCTGGAATAAGTCTGATAAACATAATTTAAGTCAAGAATTCTAATGGATCTACACAAACGTATACTTTGAATAAAGTAAGTTTTATTCTACTTACCTGTACATAGAACTTAGGCACACTTGCCAAAGCATTTACTATATTTGCTAGGATTGTGCTTGAAGGTGGTGGGTACATATACTTGAGGCATGAATTGAGAGGAAAAGTCAGCCTGAAAAAAAATTAAAACCTTTATCGTTTTAATAATCTCCGCAGCAATTCATTTTATGTAACCTAGGTAACATACAAAACTGTTCACAAGTCCCCAAATTACAAACAAGTTTTGTTCTAGGAGAAAGCTGGTAAGTCAGATTCATTCATAAGTCTGACAAAGTGACTCCTCCATACCTCTGACTCAAATATACAATGCACACTACTTGTACTTTCTAGCAGTGCCTTCCACATCACCATTGCTTTTGCCTGGACACTAAATGAGCACTGTAGTACTGTACACTATTGCACTTACAGTAAGGACACAGCAGCACAACTGTGAACCTGTCTGACAGACAGACACCTGAGTGACTTTTGAGATTTGTTCACAACTGCAAATTTTCATAGCATCTGGTTCATTTGTATCTGTGAAAGTTCACAACTTGTACATCCTGAGTTGGGGACCTAGTGTAGTATGCTTATATTTATCTTGACTCTTAAAGAACCAAGTAAATATTTTTAGGAGGAAATTTGTCTTCTGATTGTATTACAGAAAACATTTCATATCAAAGCTTTATTTATAGCTCTGAACATTTTAACAGATGCTTTCTTTGAACTAAATTCCATAAGACTATAGCTTAGAATGCTTATTTAACATACTACAACATACAAGAAATACAGTATTTTTATTTTAACAATTTTTTATATATCTATTTAGATCAACAAAATCAAAACAACTGGGAAACAAAAAGTGCTAACCCATGGTTTGGTGCGATTCCATTTTCTACCGTTAAACAACCAAATTCTTTTTTTTCTTTATCATCTTCCACAGAGTCATCAGACCTAGAATATACAGATAAATTGATCTTATCTTTGGAAGGAAGAAACACTTGCTTATAGAAAAATAAATTATCCTTTTAAACATAATATTATGAAAATGTTTCCAATAAGGAAAAAAAAAATTGTCAAGCAAATTTTCAATAGTCAAAATGTCAATGAAAGATAAGGATAGTAGACTTAAACACTATTGAATATCTTCTGTATTATTACTATGCTGGCACTGCACATTTCTATTGTTTTGCACAGAAAGCTTACAAATGCATTATAGTAATTCTCACTGACCAAAAAAATAAAAATAAAATTTACCTGGTAGCCAGAGCTACTCCAATTGCTTTATTGCGTATCTTTGTCCATACTCATAGATGTCTTAGATCTTACCCCTCTGTCTCCTTCCCCTTTAAGATTCTGATTCAAATAAATTATTTAACTACAGTCAGAGCCGCAAACCAAATATTTCCACTTGTTTTCAAAGGTCATGTCTGTTCATGGCACCTCATTATCATTAACAAAAGAACTTTATACTATAGGCAAAAATACAACAAACTCCAAAATCTGAACTTTTTGAGATTCAAAATGATGTCACAAGTGGAAAATTTCATACCTCATCACATATAATAGGTCACAGTCAAAAAAAAAAAATCACCAGCAAACTAAGAATGGTATAAAATTAGTTTCAATTTACGTATACAAGAACAAGAAAGAATTTTATGCTTAGACTTAGATAATATCCTTACTATAACTCCTTATATATCTGCAAATATTTAAAAAAGAAATCTGAAATTCAGATGTTGACTAATCAACCTGTAGTTACTTTCCCTCAACAAAAAGTGGAATGCTGGGGCTGGGGATTTAGCTCAGCGGCATAAGCGCCTGCCTTGCAAGCAGGCAGTCATGAGTTCGATCCCTGGTACCGATAAAAACGAAAAAGACAAAAAAAAAAAAAAGAAAAGTGGAATGCTTTTTACCTCACTTCCTTCCCACTTTATGAAATTTCTTCATTAAATCAATATTCAAGTTCTTAATGCACAATTAGAAGCAAAACCAGGTAAGTTTACACCCTAGATTTAATAGAAAAACATATTTCTGTTTCAAATTATTTACCTGTTAGTGTGAAAAGAACAATAACTATACAATTGATGTTTTAATTACAAAAATTTTTTTAAGTGGTAGGAAAATCTATGTATCTACTTACTTTTTCTTTTTTTCAGAGCCTGAAGTGGGACATGGGGAATGAACTCGATCTTGCTCTTTTGCAAATTCGACAACTAAAGTATGACCTAAAAGTTTCAGCTGATGAAGTCTTGTCAATGCCTTTAGTTAGAAGAGAAGTAAAAACTTTGATAATTATGCCAAATACATTTGCTAGTGATCATATATAATAATTTATACATTTTTTATTGCTGTTTATAATGCTTCAAAGTTTTCCTTCAAATGTTTCCTTGGTTATTTTCTATCCATTTCTATATGTTTGTTTACTTATTTTGTAGTAAATAACTAGTTCATTAGTGCTGGGGCTCTAACTCCTCCTTGATTACACATGCTAATCAAGTGCTCTACTACTGAGTCACATTCCTAGCCCTCTTTGTTCCTTTCTTTTTCAGGCTATCAAGTCTTTATTACTTAACAAAGAACTACTATATTTTATATAATTTTAAAAAACAAAAGTCAGGCTAACTCCAATTCTCCATCTTTTCTACGTGAAAATCTGAAAACAAAGGAACACATTTGCTTCATCTCCTATTAAATTTATAACCACAAAACTCAGGTTGGCCCTTAATGATGTTGCACAATATGTCACAATCATATTTTACACTTCCTGCTTAATCCTTCACAGTATTTTTTCTCCTTTTATCTTAGCACCTTGCTTTCTGAGACAAATGAAGAAAACCAGGTAAGGATCACCTGTTCCCAAAATTCTCTATCCACCAGCATCTGCAATCACATATTCTATTACAAACATCTGCTATCACAAATTAACTGATTATTTAATCCAAGTCCAGCTGTTTGATTTAATAAATTCTATTTTCTCATCTACTCAAGTCTTCGCTCTGGACAAGTATGGAGGGGGTGTTGTCACAGAAATTACTAATTTTCTGTTTTCTACTGGATCACACAGTATTTCTCCCATTCTGAACTTATTTCTTCTAAGATCTCACCATTTTCATTCTTGTAGGAAAACTGCTTAAAACTTATCTATATCCTCTATCTTATCTCCTTTTCTCCTATTCCAGTCAGGTTTATACTTTAAGTCAACTGACACTGTCACAGACAACTACAAATTCTCTACTGCCAAGCTAATAAGTCAACCTTTAATATTCATTATACTACATTTAACATAATTGATACTATTCCTTGACACATGTAATTCACTTGTTTTCAAGGCCTAATTTTTCTTCTAGTTTTCGGCCTAGCTTACTAATTTTTACACTTCAATCTCTGGTTGCGCCTTTTCATAACCACATAATGTTGGACTATTTCAAATTTCCATTCTTGGACTATTTCAAAGTTCCATTCTTGGTCTTTCTTTCTTAAAAGCATTCACTAAAAGTCGTTATAATTTGGATCAAAAATGTCCCCAAAGTCATATGCTTTCAGAGATAGGGCTTTTGGCAGGTGATCAGATCACAGGAATGCCATATGCTTCAACAGACTAATCCACTGATGAGTTCGTCACTGAACGTGCTGTTAGGAAGAAGCAGGTCACTGGGGGCATAAACTGGGAGGGTATATTCCTGCCCCCCTTCCCCCTTCCCACTTTTATGCTTCTTGGAGTAAGGAGCTTTGCTCCACTATGATGCTCTTGCCTTTCCTACAAGCCTAAAAGCAGGAATAGTCAGCTGACCATGGACATGAACCTCTGAAACCCTCAGCCAAAATAAATCTTTTCTTTTTGATTTTGTCTGTGCCAGGAATTTGTGCCCCATGAACAGGTGAGCAATACATGATCTAATCCAAGATCTTGAATTTGCATACTAAAAATATTCATGTAGCACTGGGACTGAATCCGTTTTAGGACAGTGTTCCTGTTAAATTACTAAATTGCAGGGTCTGGGTCCAAACTTGGGAACATCCCATTACCAGCCTCCTAGAGTGCTGGAGTATAGACACGTACCACCATGCCTGGCTGGCTTCTCAATTTATACATTCAGCCCAGAACTCTGCCCCAAAGTCCAGGAACAAAATATCCAAGTAATACATAAATACATCAGGTATGAAATAAAATCTCAAATTCAGTACTTCAAAAACTGAATCGTTTTTATCTCTTTCATCTCTTAAGTGAATCTATATTGGAACCTTCTGCCACCTCAGTTAATGGTAATTTCAACCTTTCTAATCAGGTCAAAATTTTTATAGTCACCCTTAACATTTCTTCCCCCATTCCACATACAGAGCATCAAAAATCTAGTGTGTTTCTACCTCCAAAATATACACGGAATCTAATCACTGCTTACCACTTCCACCGCAATCTCTGTGATCCAGGCAATTAGCATCTTTGGACTAAAATATCACAGTTATCTTTCACAAGATTTTAATATTTCTACTCTTTATTTCTTCAGTCTCTCTTCGACACAACCAAAATCATCCTTAAGTAATTTTAGACTTTGCTCAGAATATTCTAGTGGTTCATTTTTCTCAGAGAGAAATCAATGTCCGTACTATATACTACACATTAAAACTAACAGGCATGTTCATACTCCAGGATTTCTTTGCTCCACCTGCTCCTCTGACTGAAATGCATTTCTCCCAGGCATTTCCTTAGCTGGCTTGCTTCATGCGTCTGAAGTCATTGGTGAAATACGATTCCAAGTACAAACTGATCCCTGCCTATCTCCATCTGGCACTCCTTATTCTACTGCTTTACTTTTTCTTTTTCTCTAAAATAGTAATCAATCAAGTTTATTATTTATAAACTATCTTCCTTTTTTTAGAATGTGTCCATGAAGACATATTTAGTTTGTTTACTGACTCACGCCAACAGCTAAACAGCATCTTGCCCACAGCATGTATTAGTATTTTTGAACACATGGAAGTGCAGACCTTATCCAAGGTGCAATTTTATACTACTTGCATGCATACTTATTTGCCTCCTTACTTTATCATACAAAGAAAGTTTTAAAATGCTTCAATAATTTAAGAACCTAAATTAATTCTATACTTTTTAATTATCTAAAATGAAAGTCGTATGAGTTGAATTTCTTCCTTTTAAAATAGATGTCATGCCTCTATTTTCAAAAATGTATATATGACTTTTCATTTTTAATGTTAACTGATTCCCTTCTCTCAAGAAACTCCTCTGATTCTTAACATTTCTTCTTTTAGTTGTTTATCAGTTCCCATTAAGGTCAAGTAGACTGTAGTGTAAAAGTCTGACCACTTACCAGTAACTTCTTATTCAAATATCTGGTTCCATATTGTCTGCCAAGTTAATCTTGATTTTAAAACTGCATTTTTGTCATATCTTATGTATAATTTATGATGATGCAAACACAGTTCATTAGTTAAGGACTTTTAACCATGAAGCAATAGCAATGATCCAAATTCTCATCAAAATAGAAAAGGATCGTTAATCTGAAATGCTTCAAAATCTAAATAACCTTTTTTTCCTGGGAAGAAAAATTTCCTATATATTACAGAAGTATTTCAAAACCTTCAGTAATCTTACTCTAAGATATACTGAAACAATTTGGCACATATTTCAGACGTATTAATGTGGTAAAAAGCTCTGCCACACATTTTTCTGTGCATAGTGAACATATACGGTTGCAACTGTTTTACAATATATGGTTGCAACTGTTTTGCAATTTTATTTATGTACTCTATACGGTCTATAATTCTCTATTAATACATACCACTTGACATTATACTCAGACAACTGCAATCCAGAATATGGATGTATAGGTTGAGTATACCTTCTTGAGAATGTGCAGGACCAGAATCCATTTGGATTCCTCCAGATTTTAGAAACTTTGCATTTGCATAATAAAATATCTTGGGGTTGGGACCTAAGTCTAAACATAAAATTCATTTGATTTTTAATATGCTTTAGACCCACAGCTTAAGGTAATTTTATGCAGTGTTTTTACTGTGCCCACATTTCAACTGTGAGTTGTTACATAAGAACAAGTATGGAATTTTCCACTTGTGGAAAACATATGGAACTTGAAAATTTCAGATTTTGGGACATTTCAGATTGAGGGTGCTGAAACTATGCTATAAAGTAAGGTATCCTTTCTCCCTTATTCATAAGAATTTGGGTCATTTCTATTGGTTCATGGCAAAGAGTCCATAACTTTTAACTGACAAACTGTGTTCATCCCTTATTATGTGTCATCACAGGATAAAGTGTGGTCACAGGTTAAAATACTCTTCTTTCAACATCTGTGACAATTTCTTTTTTTTTTTTTTTTTCTCTCATATTTAAGTGCTTCCCTCCAGTCTTCCTTTGAACCTCTTGGCCTTGCTTCAGTTGCCAGTATTTTTAATGTTTTCTAAATATTTCCACAAAGCAGTTCAATGACTCTTCCAAGCTGAGATGCCAAATGAATTCACTACCTGCCTTTACAAATATTCTGCTACTCTAGTTTTTCAGCCAAGCTTTTCAATCCAAAAATAAACTATCCCTCCATCAACCCCTATATTCCAAGACCTACAAAGTCAAATTCTACCATCTTCATATGCCTCTCTTCTTGATGCTTTTCTCAGATACATATTCTTGCTTTGATAAGAAATAATTTTCCTTTAGGTCCTCTTACCCTTATTATTTTTCTACATCCAAACAATGGTACAAAACCAAGCAGTTATTCTTCATAGATCTGATCAAATTTGGTTAGCTCAAAAGTATTAAATGCCTTTAAAAACAAACTTCAATACCTGTCTGCCACATAAATTTAGACCCTTTATCTTTCACTTCCTATTCCCATCCCCACCTTTAGCTTTTGCCCTACATACAACTTTCCATGGTCCATCCATTTTCCTTGTTTTCTTCTCAAAATCCAAATAAACATTAGATGTCTAGTTCAAAGATTAACTCATTTTCAAATTATGCCCTGGGTTTATGCCTTTTAATACATCTTGCGAGAGCTAACAAAAACAAGTTATTAATATTATATCCTCTGTAATTTTTCATTTTTAATACATACGATGATTTTAATTTGCTTTACAGTTCATCTACTATTCTTATATGCTACAATCAAAACTTTGGATAAGCTCTCTCAAGTGAAAAATCATGTGCAGGCTGTTAGGTAATCTCTTGGGGGGGGCTAAAAAAAAAACTAGTTTTTAGCTGGGCATGGTGGTATACATCTGCAATCTCTGCATTCTGAAAAACTGAGGCAGAAAGACCATAAGTTTGAAGTCAGCCTGGCCAACTTACAAACTGAAGAAAACTGTCTAAAAAAAAAATTGTAATAATAAATAGGGCTGAGTAATTAGCTTAGATTCAATCCCCAGTGCCACAAATAAAATAAGTAAAAATGATTAAGTTTTAAAATTAGTATACTATTATCTACCATTTTTACATCAATATTAAAGAATAAAAAATTCCTGATAGGTTTAATAGAAAAGAAAAAAAACTGTACCTTTATTGCCGCTTTTTCACTGGGGAAAGTAGCAAAAGCTGTATGTTTCTGTAACAGAAGAGATTACTTCCAATATAATTTCAGTTTCTCATAAAAACTTCTGACATTTCAGCAGTGACGACACATTATTAAAATTATGAGAAAAAGCATAAATATTGAGACTTTAATTGATTATTAATTTCAGTTTGTGACTTTAAACCACTTTTGGCTTAGACTTAAGATGAAAGCTATGTAGCCTTTTCATATAAAGATGTACATATATAAACACACGCTTCATTTGGTTCCACAGACCAGAAGTTTACAAGACACACAGAGGATCATTATTAAACACCCAAACATGTAAAGTATCCCACATGTATAATATGCTGAACTATCTGAAACTCTATACAGTTGAACGCTAAATTAAAAAAATGTTCATCAACAGAGAAATCATTTCTCCAGAGCTCTACTTCCTCTGGACTTTAGTTTTCTACTGTTTCAATAGGAACAGTCTATTTTTAAACTAAACTTTGTTTTTATTTATTAACTTTTTGAGGCAAGGTCTCACTATGCAATTCAGGCTGGCCTTGAGCTCACTTTATATGTAGCCCAGGCTGGTCAGGAACTGGCAAAGATCCTCCTGCCTCAGCCTCCTGAGTACTAGGATTACAGGTGTGCACCACTAGGCTCAGTTTCATTTTGTATTTTTTTTTTTCCTTTTTCCTGACAGAGGTTTTTACTCTGGAGTCCAGGCTGGCCTTGAACTCGCTATGTAGTCTAGGCTAGCTGTGGATCTCCGTGCCTCAAACTCCAGAGTGCTTGGGATTACAGGCATTGCCACGACAGGCAACTAAACTAAATTTCTAAAGTTTTAAAATCATCAAAAAAATCAAAGTAAATGAATCATCACATTACTTCTGGATAAATTTCTGTTAATCTTTAAAAAAGTTGTTGGAATAAATGCCCCAAATTCTGAGTTTGTCCAATTAATCCAAGATGATCTAGCCAAGTATACTTACACTGAACCAAAGAGTATTTTTATTTGTATTTATTAGTACACGAGACAATCAAACTGATCAAAATTAGTCTTTTTATTAATTTAGCAATTGATAACTTGACCTGAAAGTAATTGCTAAGGTCCCACCCCATCACAGATCAGTAGCAGATATGGCCGTTAATATTTTAACGAAGAGGAAAAACATTCAAACGCTTTCACAAAATAAAAAAGTATATTTTTGCGCAAAATCTTTTAAGTGTTTAAATACTGTGACCTAAAGGATTTCGTCCAGCTTGCTCATTTTATAAAAAAGCCTCTTCGCCAAAAATTAGTACGTACTTTTCTATCCAGTTTACTCCAAATGCTATTACTATGCCCTCTTTGTTTTAAACAGCTTTTAAGGATTTTAGATCTAGAGCACAGGTGCTTTAGATGTAATTAAAATACTCCCAAATCCAAGCCAGTGCTCTGGTGCAGGAATCTAAAACGCTAATATGGACTTTCTCCCGCTTTGCCTTTCTCATCAGGTCCTTTCCGCAGCGCTTCGTCCAGCACCCAAGCATATGAGACCCACAGCCGGAACCTGGGCGACACCGCCCACGTGCGCGCCCCTTCCTCCCGCGGTCTCCTCCCTCCTCCAGGGCGCCCAGATCCCCTGGGCCTCCACAGGCGCGCCCTTACCAGTCGCCCCTTGTCTGACAGGACGCGTACAGACTGTGCCCCGAAGTATTTCAGCAAGTCCTCTTTCTCCTCTGCGCTCAGCTCGGCCGGCAGATGTCTGATTAGAAGGGTCCGGTCTCCTCGGGGCGGGGAAAGTGAAGTGGAGCTCGGGCATCCTCTTGATAGCGGCAGCGGCTGCTCCAGGGTCGTCATTTTCCTTGCAGATGAAGCAACAGAAAGACCTAGGGAAGACTGGTTTTGACTGCAGGATTCCGAAGCTAAACTGAACAAGTAACTTCTCTCCTGTGTTTCCCTTCCTCCCCGCCGTGTCCCGCAAAGGATTCCGGGAATAAAGAAATACCGCGAGAAGGGCTCTTCGCGGCACGGCTGCGAGACTCCTCCAAAACAAGATTGAGGGCGGCGGCAGGTTGAGGGGAATAAATTACATTCCACGTAGCTGGCGAAAGTATTAAAAAGAAAAACTCGTCGCGATGATTAAAACAAAAGTGAGTAAAGGGAATCAGGAACCTTAAGGGAAGAGTACGCTTGATACAAGGACTCACTACTGCGCATGTGCGAGACGAGCGCTCGCCCTCGGGCGCCTAATCCTCGCCTGGCGGAAGTGAGTAAGCCGAGTGGGGGTTTAAAGGAATTCTAGAACTCAGGATAGGTTCTTACAGGTTCAGTTTAGTAAAACCCAAAGATCAATTTGAGTGGTAACGCCGGCCTGCAGTCTCAACATTTTTGGGAGATTTTAGACTGGAGAATCGCAATTTCAAGCCCAGACTGAGCAACTCGGCGAGACCTCTCAAAATAAAAATACTGACAAACAAAACAAAACAGAAACCACTACAAGAGGTGGGTAGGTAAAGAAGAAACAAATTCTCTTTAGTCAGGTCTGTAGGAAGGAAAACTCTGTATAAGGAACAATAGTAGAGACAGTTTTGATTGTTTCAGTTACATGACAACAGTCTAATAGGCCCCTGCCAAGTTTTGTCTCACAAGTGACAGCCTATAGGAGAAGAATCTCATACACACCACCCACACGGGAACAATATACTGTGTAGGCACTGCATCTGTTTTACAATTGAGAACACTGATGTGCGAAGAAATTTAGTCACATAACTTAGTACATGGAAGAGTCAAAAGCGTGACTTAAGTTCTATCGGTACTCCGGTCCACTATTTTGCCTATGTATTGGACGCAGTGAGGCTGAGTTAATGTCAAGAGAATAAGAAATTTAAAATTTATGCCATAGTCCAGGTACAAACTAGGTGCAGTTACTATAGTCCTGAGAACCAAGGTGCCTTTCACTAGTGTTTTTGTTTGCTGTGTGGATAGATATAAGAAATGTACCCCAAAGTTCTGCGATCATGAAGCATTGGAAAGGGAAGGAAAAAACTAAAATACTGGATAATCAGAGACAAATCATGTGAATCTTCCAGGGTTTTCAAGGACTTTGATTATCTGAAAAGTAATTGGAAACTGGTATTTTTTAATAGTAATGTGTTGGGAGGTGATTGACTAATTTTAGATGTGAATATTTCTGTTTGATTTCAATGTGAAAAGTAGAACCAGGAAAATCAGTTAGTTGGGTTATCATAGAAGCCCACAGAACAAATCAAAACAAAACAACTGCCTGAAGTAGTCTGATAAACATAGACGTGAAGAGAAGGAGCTGGAATTCACATGTGGAAGTATAATTTGAAGATGGCAATAATGAAGGATAAATTTCTGATTTGAGGCCTAAACTATTCACCATCTTTGTATATAATGATGCCATTGAGTACAAAATAGACTAAAACATAGCCGATTAGGAATTGTAAGTGGTTGGTTGGTATACTAACTTTAAAGTATATTTTCAATATCCTGTTTCCAAGTAGACAGCTGAATCATTTGAATACAGAAGTGGCATTCTGGAGATACATATATATATATATTTTTTTATTTCATTCATTCAACCTGCACAGTGTATATAGCAAATGAATAGGAGATGATGTAGACAGAGAAAGAAGGAAACCTATCGATATTGATTATTGATACCGGCATGCCACAGTTGAGAAATTAAAAGACAGAGGAAAAAGAATTTCTGCTTTCTCAGTGATCAGATTCTAATACTAAAGAAACATTAAAACATAAATGAATACTGCTTTGAAAATAAATAGATACAGAATAGTGAGATAAACTGAACTGGAGGAGGTATGTTAAACACTATATAGATTTTTACTTTATTTATTTATTTTTTTTGTATTTTTCTTTTTTATCGGTACCAGGGATCAAACTCACAACTGTCTGCTTGCAAGGCAGGCCCTTATGCCACTGAGCTAAATCCCCAGCCCCTATTTTTACTTTATTTTTTGAGGGCTTATTTAGTGGTTCTGTCAGGGGAGCATAGTTGCCTGTATATCCTGAACTTGGATCTGTGAGAGAAGAGTGATAAATATACTTCCCAATGAGCCAACTGGGCTCTGGTGTTCACTGGTGTGAAAGATAGCACATCCAGATCACCTCGCAACCTCATTGTTTTCCTTATGTTTAAAAAAAAATGTTAAGCGTAGTGTAGACATTGTATAAATATCTTAATTTGGATGAAAATATGAAAGGATTCACTTTTACAGTCACTGCTGCCTGTGGTTAAGAAATGCTACAGGAAACATCAAGTAGTGCTTAATGTGATTATTGTAATTGGGATTTCACAACTGAGGTAGGTAGAGGTATATTTTTTTTATCCTCAGTTAACTTTACTGCATACTATTGAATCTGTTTCATATTTCTTGTCAGTATCTCAGTCAGATGTTATAAATTTCTAACCTCTTTTAGTTACTAACAGCCCAAGTTAATTTGAAATATCAACTTCAAAGTTCATTAAAGTCTCATTTCTTGCTCTTAGGCATTAGTTGGAGATTGCAGGAAGAAATAGATTCTTTCATCTGTTCTGTTTCACTGAAAGTAATGTGATCCAAACTGGGAAGCACCTTTCTTCTTATTAAGTTTGATACATTGTGTCAATTTGAGAAGTTTAGAAGTTTTAATTGAGAGATTCAGCAGCAAGCCAGGGGTCGGTCTTTGTAAATACCCTCTTCTCTTGCAAAGGAAGGTAAGATTTTGTAAGTGCTAAATCAGCCCTGAAAGGGACAGAGGAAGATGATGCTGCTATACCTGTAAGCCAGGAAAGGAGGCTTGTTTTCTCCCTTTTTGCTCTGGCTGCTGCCTTGAAGTGCTACCCCAGTGCCATGCCACCCTGCCTTGGGAGCCAGCTGATTATGGACTGAAATCTCTAAAACTGTAAGCTAAATAAACCTTTCCTTGCTGTATTTTGAGTCTTGGGTAGTTTGTACCAGCAACAAGGAAAAGGTAACCAAGACACTTCATTTTCTTTTGGTCTAGCCCAGAAGTTCACAAACTTCAACAGTTCATACTTCTCATTAGCTCAGATTTGTTTTTCATGACTCTCTATTTACCACTTCATTTTTTGTGCTCTGTGAGTTTTGAGAAGCCCTCTTTGTTTTTTGGGTTTTGTTGTTGTTGTTGCTTTTTTGCAGTACTGAAAATCAAATGCAGTCTTCACACTGAGCTATATCCCTGGCACTTTTTTTTAATGCTAATATGGAGGCTTGCTAAATTTCCCAGGTTAAAATCCAACTGTGAATCTCCTTTCTCAGCATCCCAAAATGATAGGATAATATGTATGTATTACCACACCAGACCCAAGTCTTTATTCTTTATGATAGGGAGTATTTAAACAGCTTTACCAAGTTAGAATATTCTCAGAAGGAATTTAACAGGGTCTAGCATTGAAATTGAGAAACATTTGTAGCTGGTAGTTCATGCAGTGTCTGATAGTGAACATTGCTATAGTTCCCTAAAAATTTTCAGGTACTCAGTAATACCCCTGAGAGATGACTGAGATATTTAGGACACCTCAGCACATAGTTTGATAACTGTTGGTCAAACTACTTTTCATCTGATTTTCTTTGTCAAAGGTTAGAAGGAGATAAAACTAGTGCTAGTTGGGAATTTACTTCATTGACACACTGCTGATTCTTTTTAAAAATAGTCTTGTTTTGTTAGTAGAGGTTTGCAGTACATAATAACATTCATCATGGAGAGTTGGTACATAATATATCTTAACTAATTGTTTCATCTCCTTCCCCTCTTCTGCCCCGCTCACCATCTGATCACCTACCCTTTTACAAAAGATGTATCTCCCTGTTTCCTGTTATCTTTTATTTTACTATATAACTTATTTATATTTTGGATTTCTCATATAAGAGATTACTTTATGTTTAAGCTGTGAATCTGATTTCAAGTTGTAGTCTCAAAGTATATCCATTTTCCTACAAATGATTAAAGTTTATCCTTATTTATGACAAAGTTGTACCCTGTATTCATTTATCTGTTGATAGAAATATAGACAGCTTCTTGCTGATTCTTTTCGTGGCGGTCTCTATTAATCTGGTGGTTTCATTGTGTTCTAATCATCTTTATCAGGTCCCTTCCTGTCAATGAGGACTTTTGCATGCAGGAGTAGTATATTTTGCTTGGCTTTCTTTTGGTTTGTGTTGTCATTCTTCCTCATGTGGTTATGTTCCTATTTGAACATATCTATAATGTCTTTCTACCCACAAATATTTATTTATTTATTCACTGATTTATTCACATGAAGCCAAAACAACTGCTGAGGTTTATTTCTGGAAGGGCCTGGAGAACTACAGTAGAAAAACTACTTGATTTCAGAATGTTCAAACATGTAAAATGTTATTCACAAGAAAGTAAAATGCATTCTGTTGGCAACTAGGGATAACATATTCATGGATACGTATGACAATTTTAAGATGCCAGGCTAAAGACTTTCTATTCAAAACATGTCTATCTCAAAAGAAATCACTTAGATTTCACATTCAATCTCCAGACAAATTTGAATACCTTTTCCTATCTCCTCTGCACTGTAAATGCTGAAATTGTGGGTCCTAGAAATTTCGGAAGTGGAGTTTTTAGTTGTTTTTTTTTTTAAGCATTCCTCATAAAGGTAAATTTGTACTATTTAACTCAGTATTCTTGGTGTAAAACCTTGTCATATGTATAAAAATCCCAAATTAAAAGATTTGTAATCAAAAGGATCACAGATAAAATATCAATATTATTGTTTCTTTAAGATACGTGTCTTGGTTACTTTTTACTCGTCGCTGAAACAGAATACCTGAAGCCCAAGTTGGAAAAGGAAAGGTTTATTTCTTACAGTTTTTGGAGGTTTCAGTCCACACTCAGTTGGCTCCAAGGCAGGTGGGCATGGCTGGGCCGCAGTTCGTGGCTGGTGAAAGCAGCAAGGAGGAAACAGGCAAAAGAGCAAGAGACACCTTCTTCCTGCCATTACATTGCATGCTGGCTCCACCCCTAGCTGGGTGTAGCACTGACACCATCAATCCAAGCACTTAGACAATGAAACAATCACAAATGCATAATGCAAATGCCAAACAATCAGTGGACTGATTTAGTAATTACACACTCTTAATCTCAGCATCACATAGTGTAGATT